GACCCTGGCGCCCGGCGAGCAGGACACACTCGGATTCAACTGCACACGCGGCCCGTACGTGCAGACCAAGACGCGCTGAGAGCTGGCTTGGCGGGTTTCGGCTGTCGAGGATGTACTTTTCTGGCTGTTTTATGTACCGTTTTCTCTTGCGGAGCCATGTGTTGTCCATCCCTGTCATGGCCGGGAATCCAACGATGTTGTTGATTGACAGCGAGCGGCTGCCGCGATATGTGATCCGGCGCGATGCTGGGCCATCACGGAAGGTCTCTGCGTCTCTTCACAGCGCGCCCGGTATGTGGCCTGGCCTGACCCGACCTGGCCGATTCCAATGCGCTATCGGATACTGATCACAGGAAGGATGCTGCGTACCACGAACTCGGGCCGCAGCGGCTGCTTATCGCCCCACGCGGCGAAACCTTTGCTGCTCGGGACCAAAAAAAATCGATTCGAGGCTTGATAGATCTGAATCCGTCCCCCTGCCCCCCGAGGAGGAGGGGGGAGATATCGATGGGCAGTATATGAACAGAACAATGCAATGCAATCTCCGCAGCGTGGCCACACGCTCCGCCAGGTTTGAGTTGGGATGTCGGATTAGACTTTGGGTTTTTGCCTGCGGCGAGTTTGGCGCGCGCGATCGCAACAAATGGGCCCCCTCCCCGGTGTGCGCGCGATACGTTACGTACGTACTGGTTTGGTAACTCCGGCCCCGCGCGAGGCTGAGCCATGGGCTTCCGGGCTAGACCATCAAGCTTCGATCGGGCGGACAAAAGTTTGGGTGAGTGGATTGGAAGGCTCGGCGACCAGAGATTGCATGCACTGCTCCCTGATCTGATTCTTCCTCACCACACTCGCTCTTATCCACACACACACACATACAATTTTCTCGGATTATCTCCGCGAGCCGTCTGATTTTGTGTGCTCGTTTTTGTTCTCCGCAGCAACAACTCAGCAAGATAATCTCGGCTGCTGACCTTATCGATCGCACGACATCTGCTGAGGACGGCCCTCTTGTGTTGTGTACGGTATATGCGCGAATGCGGGGCACGGAACGGCCCTGTGACAGATCTGCGGCAGACCGCGCAGGCTCGGCTTGGAGAAAGCCTGAAATAGCGCGTGCGCGAATCCAGGCGCTCCCCGATGCACGATCTGTTCGAGTTTTGAAGTTCCAACCACGTGTCGAGATCTGCCGGATAACTTCACCGAAAGACAGACATGTGATCGATGGGATTCTCAATGACGCAGCTTAATCCCAATTGTACACCCTCCGTTTTCGGACGACCGCGTTTTACCGACAACGTTTTGACTGGGTGATAGCATGCAGTGCGGCACATCCGCTCACGCTTTAAAAGCTGATACGCTTGCCAGCAGGGGATCCACCCCCCTCTCCTGGTACTACCGTTGCATCCTTTTCGACAAACACTGCAGACATGTGCTACATTGGATGGTTCGCCTACGTCTGCTCACGTGTTGCGTGCCGATTTAATCGTCCCCTCTCCAGTGTCGCCGACCGCTACACCGCCTGCCAGGTCTGTCCCTCGGCCGCCGCTCGCCTGCTGTGTCCCCCCTCCAACTCGAAGTTGATTGCAGCACAACCTGATCCTGTACGAGACGAGCGCACGCACCGACTGCGGAGACGAGCACTGCAAGACGTCCGCCGCGCATAAGCACACCGCGATCGAGTGCGGGTGTCCCACCGTGCGCCACCGATCCCCCCCTCTCCGCAGGCTGGATTACAGCTGACCTTGTATTTTGTTTTTTGGGGGATCGCATTCAGTATCGAATCCCGCGACCGAGCATCCAGAATATGTTCCGGACGCCCTGTCCCTCCTGCCTGGAGACCATGCCCGCCCCGACAAGCGGCCGTCGCCGCTGAGCGCCAAAATGCGGCAGCCAGTCCCCCCCTCCTCTGCTCTCTGCTTTGACCGTTTGCTGTCCTGTCGACCCTCTTGTACTCTATTCTACTGTACAGTATTGTTAGCAGCGCTTATCGTAACCTATTTCGCTAATTCCAACCTGTCTGCTGTGTATCCGATTGATGCTGATGCGTCCGCTCCGCGGATGTCACCCGAGTGCGGTCGGCCGTTGCCGAACCATTGCGCAATTGCGAGTGCGAGTGCGAGTAAATGGAGACGTGGAGCGATTGCGAGCGTAAGTGGTAATCGGGAGTAAACGTCCAGTCGACGACATCTGCGCAGGGTGGCTGTGAGCGGCATTGGAACTTCCCGATAACACATGGAACGATATTACTCACGACCGCTCGGACATTGATGGATCGCAGAACGGCGTAAGGACTGAAGAAGCACTGCGGGGTAAGCGCCCTCTCATCTTTAAATAAATATCAAACCCAGTGACACATTCCGGTCTATGGATGTCGCCTTTGTTAGAGCACCCGCATTGACGCAGAGATAGTATTCGGCGCGGAATAGCTGGGGAATAAGAGAGATAAGAGATGTAGCACGGACATACAGCGTGCCCAATTATCACTGATCCTGTGAAGCCTGACTGATCCTATAAGACCCATGACGGTCAAGTGTGCCAGGTGGCCCGAGCAGCACAGATAATGGTACCCGCGTTCATTGGTGCATTACTTCTTTCCCAGGAGGTTAGATACTTGGATCCATTCCTTCCGTATGCCCTTCTCCGTCAAGTAGTCGGTAACAATCTTCGACTGCTTCCCCTGAACAAGAACTTCTAGGCCCTGGATCCCTCCCGTGCGCTGGGAAACTGTGACGCTTCAATGCAAGCAGCTCGTCAGAACCCAGAATCCCGTACCTGATGTGGCTCCGGCGCAGAGCTTGCGGAGATCTTCGGCCATATCCTCGGCGACGAGAATCAGGAAGGGCTCAAAACCGGAAATAAGCGTCGCAGCTTTGCGGCCTTGTCGCATTTTCATGACCACCTGGATGGGCTTGAGGGCGCCCTTCCTCCGAGACAATCAGGATCTCGTTTACAACGTGGTGGTGGCTGCTGCTGCTGCTGCGGCGGCACACTTACTTTACGACCGGTTCCTTGCCCGGCGCCGTGATCTCGTGCCAAGGCTGCATTTGCTCCACAACTTGTCGCATGAGATCATCCCGCTTCAAGAATTCGACGGCGGCAATCGACGCTTCTCCCTTTCCCTTCTTCGGGGCTATCACGTGCGATAAGACCGGGTCTACGTTGATGTAGGCCTGGTCTCGCGGGTTGACCAGACCGTTCGAAGTGATGTATTCGTTGACCTTAGCGCGCACTTCTGTGACGCTGTAGAGCGTCTCTGCACTTGGAATTGACATGAGAAGGACGCGGCTGTCATAATTTGATCCACGATACCTTCCGCCTAGCGCATTGAAGAGTTCCACCGATTTAAGATGCGGCTTCAACAGCTCTTTGACCTCCACCCAGTGCTCGCTCTTCTGCTCTGCCTCTTTCAACCGTCTTGGCGGAGGGCCTTCTTCGCAGCTGTCTCCTCGATTGCTTTGACCGAGACAAACGGCTTGTGACCGGCGACCAAGGGATGCTTGGTATTGACCCCGGTCACGGAGACTTCTGTTTGTTGGCCGTGCTTCGGTGGCGCTTTTAGCGTGACCAAAGAGATCTTTTCTAGTGATTTAAGAAATGAGGTCATCGACTTGTGAATCGAATTCTTGATTGTGATATCGAGAGGATTGGGCGACTCGTTGGGCGACGGGAGGATGGAGGATGGAATGCCGGCCGACTGGGAAGCACGTAGCTTGAATAAAAGATGGAGCCCGATATAGGAAACGACCGAGGCCGGCACATTGCACAGGATCATGGCCACGGCTTGCACAGCAGCCGTCTGCAGTAAGGTGGAAATGTCAGAGGCCGAGTACGCCGGTAACGCATCGTCTGCCACGCTCGAGGCTTCTTGGGCAGGGGCTGGGTCTGGAAGAGCGTCCGATGGTGAATTTTTTGCCACAGAATCATCGGCACGAGAAGTTCCTTCCGACTCTGAATCCTGGGCCAAGGAGAGAGGAATTTCCTCGGGACCCCGATCCGGCTTCGAGCCCATGTCCACAGGTGATCTTTCCAGGTGTGAATGATATGGACGGCCTTCCCTTTCGCCTGTTGCCCATCCCGGATGGCATCACCAGAAAGTGCCATCTTCCCTACAGCAAGCGGTGCAGACAATGAGCCTGTTTTACCCCCTACGTAACGGCGAATAGTCACGAGTTGACCTTCTTGCAACGACTTGGAAATATGCACCACTGGGCAAGGTTCACGGGTCAAAGATAGACGGGTGGGACAATTGACTTGCCACCGGGATCATCAAGTCTGCGCCCCCGACAAGAGCGGGAATCACAGCTTCTGGTGTCGAAAGAAAGGGCAAGAGGCCTTGTGGACGCTTCCACAAAGTGTAGATCGAGGGAATCAATTCATCTGAGCCTTTTCCTACTGTGAACCAAAGCGGATCTCCATGAGGGGAGATACACGGGTCTATTCGTGGATCAGATTGGAAAGATGACCATCGCTTGCGCCGCACTCCAGGTACATCCAGGTGCGTGTGGAACTTGAGAGAGGTATCCCCTCCGGAACAAGATCGTCGCCGTCTTCAGGTGAGAGACCATGTGCTGCGACAACACGCTGCTTCAGCTTCTTCTATCTGAGCTGCGCAGAGGTGCACTAGTTTTCAGGGTGCCAAGCGGCTTTTTGACATTCGAGAGTGGTGTCTTGTGTCGAGGGCCTGGCTAATCGATTGTCAGTCTGTGACCGGACATGTGACCTCTGTCTCGAATTGGCAATCACGATCGCCTCTGCGACGCGCTTCACGAACAACCTATGGCTCGACATAGGGGCCTCGAGAGCTCTCTCTGTCATCTACAGCTTCTTACTGTGATCTCGCCAGAATTCTGGAATTGCAAGCTTTCTGTATGTCTTGCATCTGTCAGCGCTGACGCGCACGTAGCTTGAATGTCTCGCCCCGCACCATGGCAAATCTGTGTGGCGGTCACCATCGTTCTCACACTGGTTCTTCTCTCGCAAGACCATGTCCCGCGGCGAGCATGTCGAACATACATCAAGTCTTCAGAGGCTCCCGCGGCGACGCGTCCCGTTGGCGACTCAACCAAACCCTCGATGGGAACGAGCTGCGGTATCAAGCCGCGATCCGTGAACGCAGGGAGTTCATCTACAAGATTGGTGGACTAGACCAGCCTGCGTACGCCGTTTTCATCTCGCGCTGCGATGTTCGTCGGCTGACAAGTTCTTGGCGCTACCACAGTTTCCCGGCGCCCTTCACGGCCTTCTACACGCTCTGGGACCTCTATGCACCGATTTTCTCGTGTCCATTCCAAGCATTTCGTGTCGGTATGTAGTTGATCTACTCCGTCATGTGCTGCCTTCCACGAGTCGGCAGGGACCATGGCGATGGCGGGAAATGGGTGTGCGGTTTTGAGCGTGTTATCCAACAAGACCGCTGTATCGTGTACTCCATGGGAGTGAATCATCAGTCAAGCTTCGAGCAGCAGATTCTGAGGGCTCGAAGTCATGTACGGTCTATGGTACGTCCCCTTACACAAGTATAGGGAGCAACTGATTCATTGCAGGATTTGATTTTTCCGTCTCTGATTGGGGCCAACTCGTCGCTGATACCGCTGTCAATGCGCGCGCTCATTTCTACCCTGGAAGATCACCGGAGTGACAACCACGGTGCGGTGCCCAAAGAATACTCGTTTCACGGTATCATGAAAGAATTTGGGCACGAGTTTGTCGATATCTTGAAGTCGGTGCTAGTTCCAGCGCCTCCAGCTGAGCTCATTCTCTCACTAGCTCGATATCGAGGGATCCGAGTTGATGCTGGCAGCGATTGTAGATCGTTCAAAGGGCATCCGCTACCGTTCG